GGACACAAACTGAATTTGCAGCTTCTTGCTCAGGACCAAAGCCCCTAACCAGCCACGCACCAGTACTCATACTGCACACTCCTGCCTGTCTGGAGATGGGCAAGTAGTGGAAGGGGCTAAAGGGAAGTATTCTCTTAACCATGGTCTATACAATCAGCACAGACCCTGGGCAAGGCTTCCCGTTCATGTACAAATGTTTGGAGAGTGGCAGCTACTCCACAGGGTCCCACCAAAACAGAGAGGTGGCCCCAAAATGGCACATGCCCCTTCTCCAGAGAAAGCCTCACCATTTTGAGAGATAAAACTCATAGAACTTGACTGGGCATCGAAGTGGGTTCATCCTGTTCTCCCGCTGCTCCAGCATTGGTACCTCCTCCTCACGCTTCCGTTTTCCAGAGCCACCATCTGCAGAGTGGGAGAGAGCAGGATCACAGCTGGGACCCGATGGGGGAGGCAGGGATAGGGACAGGGAGATGCTCCATCATACCCTACCTCGGCCTTTCTTCTGCTTGGCAGGAGCATAGTAGCGGATGCTCACCACCTTAGTCATGCCACGGGCTGTGGTGCACTTGCGGGACTGGCGCACCACATTGGTGAAAGAGAGCTGCATGTGCTCCTCTGCTGTCTGCAGTCCAAAGAACTTGGTGTTGAAGAACATGAGGGTGTTGAGGAGCACGAAGGGTGAGTAAACGCCCAGCTGCTTGCACTCCCAGAGGTGCTCCTCCTCGACACGTGAGAAAACTGTGTCTGCAATGCAGAGGAAGACCCAGGTCACATCAACAGTGGCCTTGTGGCAATCCCTTCACACTGCCCAGGCAAGCTCACTGCAAAAGGCTGATGCTTCACAACATCCCCTTCTCCACAAGGTTACTTCTCCAGAAACATCAGCAGAGCTAGATGCTGGCTCTGCCTAGCCACAAGCCACCCCAGAGCACAGCCAAACCACAGGCCAGAACCCAAATCAATCCTAAACACTCATCCCTATAGATGGCCACAAAGCGAAGTCCAGGTCAGTGCTCCATCACACTCAGTGTGAGATGAAGGAAAAGCAGCAGGCAGGACAGACATGGCCAGCTCCTGCCTAGACACACAGGTCTGGAGCTGAATGCCAATATGCAGAGGTGAGGCTGGACCTGTGAACTAGCCACTGACAAAACACAACAGGGAAGGCAGCTCAGATCACAGCATCATGAAAAGTCTCTGCAGAGCTCTAAGTTAGTCCACTCACAAGGCAGCAGCATGGCAACCCTGGCCAACACTTAGCACAGGGTGCAGGGCTTGCCCATGTGCTGGGAACACAAAGGCATGGGCCTGGTTGCCTCCTGGCTTGGTATCCTCTTTGCCAAAGGATGGAGACATCACTGTGAAGTGCTGTAAATATTCAAGCTGTCCCAGGATACAAAGCAGCCATGCTCTGGCTCCCCAGCTACCCTGACTCTGGGCAGCAGAAGCTGCTGAGGCATAAACCAGGCTGGCCCCACTGTTGGTATGGGTCAGTACGACCCCAAGACACAGTGGGACTGTGCTGCCTATGCCAAGGGAAGAGGGTTGAGGCTGGGGGAGCAGAATCAGACTGGAGGATCCAAGGCTAGAAGCACAAACTGGGTACGTGCAGTGACAGAAGGTACACTGGAGACACATACTATTTGGTAAGATTGTGGGTTGCCAGCCGCTCAGGGACTTGTTCAGCTCCTGCACGAAGGTCAGGTAGTAAAGGTCTGTAAATATATTCACCATACGATTGTTCTCGAGCAGGTACTAGAAAGGACAGAACACACAGTCAAGAGAGACATGGCAGCACCTGGAATGCAAACCCTCCCCAGAATGCCCAGGGCACACATGCAGAGCACCCCTCCTTGTACAACTACAGCTGCAGAGCAGATGCCCAAAACCAGCCACTTCTGAGACCTGCAAGGAAAACCCTGGGACATGACAAAGCAGACTTGGTGCTGAAGTGACTGAGTTTGGGGAGATCGCCCAACCTTCCTCAAGGATGTGCAAGAAGGGCGCAAGGCTGGGGAATAGCTGTCACCCTACACACTGGGCTTAGGAACAAAGACCAAACCAGATGGGCTGCTGTCCTGGGGTGAGGCACTGAAGGAAAGTCCAGTGAGCCTCTCTGGGTCTCCAGAATGCAGAATAAAGGGTATAAGCTCCCCATACCAGATCTGACCCCCAGGTTTGGCTGTGGAAGACTCCAGGGCAGCAAGCCCTCCCTCACCTGCTGGATGCCAAGGCAGAGGTAATAGATGCTGTCCGGTTCGTAGCGCTCCCCATTGGGCCTTGTTATCTCCTTGACAAACTGAGCCAGGCCATAGTTGAGCTCAGCTGCTGTGCAGGCCAAGATATCTTCCTTGATCCTCATGGGCTTGGCTGTGGAGACAAGCACAGCAGCCTCAGACAATAACCTGCAAGGCCAGGAGCACCTCAACACCCTGGGACTCAGCTTCTGGGAGGTTTCTACCACTCCACCCCATCCAGACAGGGCACTTACGGCCAAAGCGTAGCTCCTCTCCCTTGCTGGTCTCTCCTCCTGCATACTTGGCTTGCACCCAGGACTTCCAGGCATTCACACCATATGAGTAGTTCAGCACTGTGCAACTGGGCTGGCTGCTCATTGAGTCCCGGGAACAGCTTTCAGAGAGCACCAGGCGCTTCTGCCCCTGCAGAGAGGTGTACTGTGAGACTGGGCACCTACTTGGTACAGATGCAAGAGTCCTGGCCACCCCTCAGACTTGCCAACTGCCAGCTCCCTCCCAGTGTGCCTTTACCTGTGCCAGCAGGCACCCTTCTGCTGACAGCCAAGCCAACAAGGCCCATTAGTTACGATCTGTGGTATTCAAAACTCCTCCGAAGTGACAGGCAAGTACTTTCATTCAAGTAGCAGCCCACAGGCCAGGCATGTCCTGAAGGGAGAGGACACAACCTCCCCAGCACACCAAAGGCTCTGGCACACTTCACCTCCCACATACGTCCCAGATGGCAGCTCCCACTCCAAACCCAAAGAACTTTAAGCAGGCAGTACCCACAGAGAGCTCACCTTTCGGACAGCACGAGGCAGATCTTGCTCTGTGGACACATCATCTGGTCCCACCAGCCCACAGTCAAAGAGGAAGTCCACACTGGGGTTGATGTCTAGAGGGTCTGAAAGGAAACACAGGCAGAAAAGCTCAGCTGAGACTTTTCATCCTGTCCTGTGCCAGCCTCATTCTTACAGCAAGATGAAGAGGGAACATGCAGCCCAACGCTTCACATGCTCCACCACTGCCTGGCATGAACTTTCAGCCACAGCCCAAAGGAAATACAGCTCTAGCAAATGATGCTAAGCTTTCTCAGACTAACTAGAGCCCCACATTCTCCCCTCTGACAGTTTTTTGTTTATTTGTTTAAACCCGAGGAACATTCCTCATCCCCTTGTGCCAAGCCATCACTGGGGACAGCCTGGCAGAGACACCTCAATTCTCTGTCCTTTGCTGCTAGCATCCTGCCTCAGCACTGCTGTGCTCCTGGCAAGTCCCTGCCTCTTCTTCCACCTTCTGCCCGCTAATGGATACTCAGCAATACTGCCATCTACCAGGATGTCGTGCCCCATCCAGGTCTCTCTATCACCTTGATGGATCCTCTGGAATCATCATCCACAAACACCACCACCCTGCTTTCTGTGCTGTTAAAATCAGCTTCTCATTCCCCCTTCTTTGCAGACCTATGTTTTCAACAGGTCAGTTTGTCTAGACAAACACACACTCCTTCAAAAGTGGTGGTCTCCTCGCCCCTGCTGTGAGCAGTCATCTGCAAGACTCTCAGTTCCTGGCCTCAAGCCTGGTCAGTCAGAGGGCATGGGAAGGTAAGTTCACACAGCTCTTAATGCTGCTGGCAACAGCTGGCCAAGGGCAGCGGGAGGACCCTGCTGCAGCATGAGCAGCCCTGCATGCCTGCTTCACCCAGCTCTTACTCTTAGGGAAGTCAGCCTCCAGGTCCTGTCCCGGCTCATCGAGGACATTTGCCATCTTGACAGCCATAGCCAACACATCATCCCGTGCTGGTCCAAACAGATCACAGTCCTCCAGGAGACCCTCTGCACTCTGGTTACTCACCAGGTCTGCAATGCAAAAGCAGCTCATAAACCCAACTTTCAAATCTTTTGTGTTTCCCTTGCGACAGTCAGGCTCCCTGCAGCAGTCCTGTGCTCAGAGCAGCCCCATGACATCTGCACTGCCCAGTTTTCCCTGGACAGCAAGACATTGGACACTTGTCCTCTCCCCAGCCACAGCCCTAGTCACTGGGGCTTGAGAAATGCAGCCCCGAAGTAAAGAGACCTGCGAGGTCAGGACTGCTAATCTTCTGGCTGGGAAGCTGCTTTAGGTAAGACCCTGGACAGCCACCTGAATAAACTAAGCGCTGCACATATACTGTAAGACTGGCACCCTGAAAAGGGACAGTAGCAGACACTGCTCCCTGCTGCAGCTCTTCCCTCCTGGTACCTCCTCAGCAGAAGTTGAGGACTTGCTCTTCCCTGCTCCCTTTTCAAAGGCTCTGGGGGATCTGCAATCCAGGATGATGCTCTAGCTCCAAAAGCCAGCAAACCCCACATGATCCCAGCTGTTGGGCCACACCAAGCCATGGCAGAACCTACCACACAGGTCTGAGGAGGCCTTGTCCAGTTCCTCAGCTTCTGCAATCATCTCAGCCATGGCCAGGATGTCAGCCTCCAGGGGATTGGAGGGGATCTTCACCTTCAGCTCCTCAATGGTCTCCACAATCTTATCTGTGCTCTCCAGTGTGGTGGGCAGGAACATTGGCACAGGCACCTGTCGACATCAGCACACCAGGCAGAAAACTGACACTCAGCCGACTGATGTAAAAGCAGAGGCAGGAGAAGAGGACAAACAGAGAAGCAGGAAGGCTGCAGCAAGGCAGGATAGAGACAGTAGGAGAACACGAGCAGGTGGAGTGTGTCGCTTACCGGGACAGGCATGGAGAAAGGCACAGGTACTTTCTGGCAGTACATATGCATAGGCACAGGCACGAAGATCGGGACGGGGATTGGCAACACAATCACCTGGGGCTTCCAGTCAGCCTCTGACAAGAGCAAAAGTATATCAGTGAGCTTGCTCCCAGCAGCTCCTCCACCCAGCCCCACTGCACACTGCCATGCCCCCAGCCATCCAGCACCATGGCCCTTCAAGCCACTAGCTTCTGTGACTCATGGGCAGAGCTGGAGCAGCAGCAAGCCAAACAGCCCTACAACAAGAGAGGCTTGCCTTAGCCAGGGGTGCAAGCCCTGCTCTTACATGGCCCTGCTGAGAGATCTAATTGCCTTACATATGCTGGGGACCGCACACATGTCTGACAGGAGCTACAGTGAGACCTGCTCAGCACATGGCCCCTCAGACAAGCTGACAATCTCCAGAGGAACAGGAGCTGTCCCACAAGAAGTGGGATCATGATGCAGTGCTCTCCGTGTCTCTCCTTTTGTGCTGATGGAAATGGGCTCCCTACCTCCAGTCTTGCCATGTGTGCCCTGCACTGCCCTGAGACTCCTCAACATGCTGCCAAAAC